TTTAGCCTTATTTTGTTTAATAATCAGATAAATGAATAAAAAACTCCGATTTTTCTGGTATGAATTTCGATGAATTTACTGTTTCTGACTTAGTATTGCGATAATAAAGCATTTTTGATTTAGATAAGTGGTTGGATATTAGATTTTTTCAAATTTTAGTACCACTTATTCAACTACATTATTTTTATCACAAATAAAAACCATATTAAAAACCTATTTAGTTTTATTTTGTTTAATAATCAGATGAAAGAAAAAAAACTCCGATTTTTCTGGTTTGAATAATGATGAATATTGTCATAATATAACTAAAAGTATAATTTCATTTCAAATTTTTTTCTACTTATGATAAAATTAAAATATACTTGGATACATCCAAATCCATAGGTACCTAGAGTAACAGTAATTGTTTTGTTTTCCCTGAAAAAGGGGATATTTAATATTCTTTTAACCTACCTACCTATTTTATCTTAAAAGATAATAGTAGGTAGTAGGTACCCACCCTAACCCTTGCGTTTTGTTTGGATAAATCAACCAGCGTTTCTTTTAAAAATGGAATATTTAGTTAGCGTCTAAATGGCTCCGTAGTTATATCTATGAGATGCGCGACTACGTTTTCGTGTTTTTTTTTTTTTTTTTTTTTTTGTGAATTTTATGAATTTTTGAAAATTTTTCAATATTAGAGAATCCGTATCGGTGTATAGCAAGGAAGCATCATCCCCAAACTCAGTCTTTATGAAATTGTAAAAAAAATCATATATCACAATCGACATGTCTAGTATGGAAAATCCGATATATATTGGTCTATTGTAAACTATTTTTACTTTCCCCATATGAAAAGCCACAAATTCTTCTGTAAAAATGGAACTACTTTTAAAGTTTGGTCGAGCTATTAATGCTCTAGCCCCCAATTTTCCCCTGGAGTTCTCCCACTGGGTTATCAATTTTATATCCTTTCTATTCTCTACATTTTCCATTGTTTTTCCAAAAACTGCATTAACCCGTAGTTTAAAAAGATCTCTCTGAAACATATTTTTGGATTTTTTGCGCAAATTTGTATTGAAATCAATATATTTTTTTAACCAGAGTGAAAAAACCGAAATCATTTTTTTTCTCGAAAACTATTAGAGATAAACCTATCGAACTTTATATCATTGAAATAAGAAAAAGCCGAGCTTTCTGATGAGCTATCAATATATAGAGTGTCCTATTGAGAAAAAAACAGACTTTGGTCAATATCTTGGAGTTGGGACCAACTAAAAAAAAAACTGAGAACGTCACTGAATTCCGCTTGAAAAAGTGCTTCTAGAAAGTTTTTACGGAAATCAATAATTTCCATAAACAGAAAAGTTATGATGGTTTCACATTATTGCTCAAAATCGAGAATCGCCCTCTAGCGGCTAAACGGTTGAAGATATCAAAATGCAGTTTGCACCAATCAAAATTTTAAGAAATTTGAGCCTCGGAGTGGGGGGTTAATTTTTGTGAAACTCGCTCAGAAATTGACGTTTCCTATTAAAACCATCCAAATTCGGACACCCTGTACAAGCTAAGCTGGCCAAGGCCTAACATCTACATTTTATCTCTTTTGACTATGAGGTCTCCTAAAACAGTAAAAAAATATGCCGTATATCACAAAACTAACATGTATACTTACTGGTTCAGTTTATCCTAGTTGTACATAATATTATAGGTCAGAGCTGGGCAGGGCTTGAGTGCTTTGTGCTTGCGAAAGTGCTTGAAGCACTTTGAGGGCTTGAAAGCCCTGTGCTTCAAGCCCTTTTATAAATTTGTAATTAGGGCTTGCAAAGTCAATTACTTTAGAAAAGTGCTTGGTAATTTGTAATTGAAAAAAGTAATTCAAGCCCTTTCAATGAGCTTCAATTACTTTTAGAGGGCTTGAAGCACTTTTGGGAGCTTGAAGCCCTTTGAAAGGGCTTGAAGCACTTTAAGAGGGCTTGAAGCACTTTTGGGAGCTTGAAGCACTTTGAAAGGCTTGAAGCACTTTAAAAGGGCTTGAAGCACTTTACAAGGGCTTGAAGCACTTTGAAAGGAATTTGAATTGAACATCACTCAACCTATCCCCCACTTGATAATTTTCAATCATGTTTTGGGAATGAACTTATTATTCAAATAAATAATTAATTTATATTGGTATAGTTTTTCCAAATTCAATTGGAACAAGGTGCCAACTGGTGGCTGACTGGTCACTGAAAATTTCCATAAGAAATGCACTGCCACTAGTCAGTCACCGGTTATAATATATGCTCACCTTGTTCCAATTGACTTTGGAAAAACTATAACCTATTTAACTTTATCACTGGATTTTTTCCACTTTTTCCCATTGAACACTTAGAAAACTTTAAAATTGAATTACCATGTAGTACCTACCCCAAGTACCCCAGAACTACATCTCAAAAAAAAACATACTACTGCTACTCTGTGAAATGTAAAGTTCGTTTCTACTATACCAATTCTGTGTGATGACTGTACGCGGTAGCTTATGCCACTTTGAGAATTTTATTAGAAATTCAAAGTGCTTTAGGCACATTTAAAGAGCTTCAAGCACATTTAAAGAGCTTGAAGCACATTTAAAGAGCTTGAAGCCCTTTTCAAGGCACCCCAAGCACTTTTGATGTGCTTCAAGCACTTTTCAAATCACTTTGGGGGCTTTGTGCTTGTCAAGCCCAAAGCACTTTGAGGGCTTTGTGCTTGTGAAGCACTTTGAAAATAAAAAGGAATTTGTGCTTGAAATTGAAGCACTTTGATAGAGGGCTTAGGGCTTAGTGCTTCAAGCCCTTTTACTGAGGGCTTTGCCCAGCTCTGTTATAGGTACGCGATACCGAGTGCCTTAATAAAAATGACAATTTCTTCTTCTTGTTCTTTAGATTTTGTGAGTTCGAGTCTTCTAGACAACCACCCAATCGGTTAAAAATGACAAATTTCAACACAGAAATGTCGTTATTTTAAGGTTACTTATTTGTTATCTCGGTCACAGTTTCTATAGTTATGGATGTTTGATAGGTTTCTACAAAACAGCTAGGAAAGCTCTGTAACTCAGCTCATACAGTGTCCTTGTCTTGTGAATTGGTATGACAGAGAAAGATGAAACAGAATCGAATGATCGGACTGATCTTTCGTAAGTCTCTAGCTTTCCAAAAATTCCGCAATGCGCTATGCGCAACCGGATGCGCAGTAATAGTATAACCTATTTCGGCTTTACTTTTGAAGGTCTTTTTATTTTTTATTGTTTACGTGCGTTTTTATTCTCATCGAGTTTTCCTGATGAATTCTATCACCGATGAGCGCCGATGAGCACTACGTCATCAAAGTTCATCGCAATTTTGTTGATGAAATGAATAAACTAAAAAACACTTCGATGGATTTTGACACTTGAATTGATACTTTTGGCATTGATTTGTGTTGTTTGTTCGATGTGGCAAACTTATTATTTTTTTATTTGTTTAAAAAACCGTAGCCATACAATGATTGGAAGTCTAGTGTTAGTTGAGAATAATTGTGAGCTCTTCATCATCATCAAGTGATGAGTCTAGAAGTTCTCCAGATGAAATAATTTTACTTGAATTGTAGAAAATATGGAAAAATAGAAAATTATATTTCTTCTGTAGTTCTTTGCATAGTGATTTAGATGTTAAGTCTCATTTTAGACTTACTAGGACTGTAGTGGAAGTGAGATATTAGAAATAAAATTATCTCTGAGACAGTTAGCTGAGCTTTAAGACCTCACAAATTAGTTTGATTTGATATTTCAGATATATTTCTCACTTGTCACAAAGTTAGGTAATTTGGCGCTCTTATGCTCAGAACTCTTAGGTTTGGTATGGTCTCGGTTTTCACACCCTTCAGATCACTTGAACATGACCTTTTTCCTTTTTTTTTTGTTAAGGTCTTCGCAAATCTTCACATAATAAATATAAATGCAAAACAAAACGATGCCAGTCGGCCATCAACAACCGTCAACATAATTTTGAGGTTACATTTTACGTTATAATTCATCAGTTCATCCTAAATGAACCTCGATGAATTCGATGGCTAATCGTACTTTCACCGATGAGTGTAGGATGAGAATAAAAACAGACCGATGAAATCCATCGATGTTTTACTGATGAGAATAAAAACAGCCAATTGACATTTTCGCTTAATCAATGAGCACATCAGTGAGAATAAAAACGCACGTTTTATGGATAGTACGCGACGCACAACTGACAACGTAAATGGCGTCATTGGTTCAGGTATGACGTACACCCGTTACCTGACGTCAGCTTTTTAGAATCGAACTTCGAACTTTACCCTGGTGCTCGAACTAATTTAATTAGTGGAAGGACCAAAATGGAGAATTTAGTAGAATAATTTAGAGATTGGACACTGGAGCGACTTAAAATGTTTTTTTACTACTAACCTGAGAAGTAGTCATTATTCAATCTATTTTTCACGGAAAAAATTGAATTTCTCTCCCTAGGTTAATAATGAAAATAATGAAAAAAAACCTAGGTCAATAATGAAAATGACGTCATGACGCAAGGATATTGTCATAACGTTACAGGTTTCTATTGGTTTAATTTCAATTTCAAACTGTCAATTTAATCAAAAAAACAGGTTCCTGTATGTATCATAGGAAATTGCCATAGATGTTAATAGAGGGCAGCACTTCCAACTAGGAAAAATAATTTGAGCACAGATTTCAAACTTTTTTTTTGTTTTCTACTATAGCAGTAGTAAAAAAAATTCTATATATTCCACGGTAGAGAAAGTCATTATATACCTTACGCATTATAAACCTCGGCGCTACGCACCTCGGTTTATAAATGCGCTCGGTATATAATGACCAACTTCTCTACCTAGGTATATAATGTACTATTATTCATTGTTTTAAATAAAAAGTTACAATAATATAGCAATCAATAATAAAACAAAAATATTTGCATTGGTTTTCAAGCAAATTCCCTCGCTGTCAGTCGTTGGTACTGGTACTGTTGAATTACCATCTGGGAGTGGTTTTGCATCTTCTCGTGATTCCATAGCTTTGATAATGCTATCAATATAATATCCAATGGGAGCAAACTGAAGTGGCTCTCCGTTGCAGTAAAATCCCGGCATCAAGATACCAACTTGAAAATCGCCGCACATGACTGGACCGCCTTGTTGATTTGCATCGCAAAATAAATTTTCCTGGTTCAAGCTGCAGAATTGTCCGTTATTTAACTGAATGTTGAATTGTTCTGCACACTTCTTCGCTCCAATTATATCCACCGTAGCGCCTTGTTTCCAGCCTAAAACGGTGGCTTTTTTGCAAGGTGTGTCTGCTAATTTAAACTGCGCAGTGCGCCACTCTGGAGCCCATGATGATTTTGGTGATCTGATGTCTGAAGGTATCAAAAATTTGACAAATGTCAAAGCTGAGCGAAGCATAGGACGTGGTGGATATATGGTTATGATGCTAATATCGTCATTACTAAACAGATTTGAGTTCATTGATCCTCCAAGGCCAGCCATACTGCCTACCGTAGCTCTAACCGCATTACTAACCACTGCTTGAACCAACCCTATAATCGAAAAAATAAATCGCTTTCTTCGTCGTTGTCGAGCCACCAGATTGGCTTCATAACTCCACATGCTGAAAACCAAAAATTTCCCTGAAGCTAAAACTTTGGTAGGAGATAACAGGGTACCCACGGCTACTCTTTCCTTTGTGTCTTTTCTTACGACTTCTACCAAAAAGTTATAATTTCCGGACGGCCGTTTTTCTGAAACACTATGATCATCTCCAGAGCCATATGAAGCAACTGCAACGAGCAATAATACATATTTCCACATACCGATTCGCATTTTAAACTTTGAACGAACAATTTTTGTATAGAAGTGACGTTTTTTTGACATAGTCTGGTCGTCTGGTATATCGTCTTGGTAACTTCTAGAGTGCGTTCGAAATCACCCTGGGCGTCACACCGAGTGCACGCCAGCTATGAATTATGCAAAGCTTGTGTGCACTCGGTGTGACGCCCAGGGTGACTTCGAACGCACCCCTTTAGGGCATTCCAACGATGTTCTGTGCAACGATCTGTCAAAAATGGTGTCTGACCCTGATCGTGTTTTGGGGTATATTTATAGTTTGTTGTTTCTTCTGTAATTAGTTTGCATGTTTGTTTGTATGTCCTTCCTACCATTTTATGTCTCTCGGTGTAGTCTGTACCTGCTAAGATTTTGCACCCACTGGTAATATGGTCTATGGTTTCTTTAAATTGGTGACATTTTGTGCAAGTATCGGTTTGTATGTTAGAGTCTTTTATTCTATAGGTACTTTTGGTAGTTTTTTAGTGTGGCTATTACTTGATTTTTAATTGCAAGGAGAAATCCCTCAGTTTCCGGAAAGGCGATTTCGCCTCAGTTTGGTACCCTGCAATCAATTGACCTTTTGTTTGGACGCCATATTGCGGTGCGCGAACATAGTTGCCAAAAGTAGAAAAAAAAATATTACTAGCGTACTGTCAACATTAAAAACATAAACTGAATAAATTACATTCAAAATTTAAATTTGCCGCCTGTTATGAATGTTTTTGAAAAGAAAAGCCATCAATTTTAGCTTGTATTGGGCAGAATAGAAATAATGAAATATCTACCTATTTCATTATTCAGAGAGAGAAAGTAAACAAACAAAAAGGATAGCGAGGATCAATCATTTAGTTACTTTTGTTTCCAATGTTGACAGCCCGCTAGTAATTTTTGTTTTCTTCTTTTGGCAACTATGTTCGCGCACCGCAATATGGCGTCCAAACAAAAGGTCAATTTCGGATGGGAGAATGATGCTGTCACAGCAATTTTGGTAGGCATTTTGGTCTGTCAGATATGCTATACCGCGTACCGCGATTTGACTGGGTAGTGGAGGTTTGGTATCTTTCTGTCTCTTTTTGTCTCATTTCCAAATAAACATATATGTCAAAGTCAAAATGTACCAAACGCCCTATCCCAGAATTTGGATGAGATTGTTGAGCTACGTCACTCACGTACCAATTGGTTAACCACTCGCCTACCAAACAGCAGATGAAAATCTGGGGCGAAATCGCCTATAATAAATTTAAGTTTGAAATACTGTCTCCTTGTGCCAACGCTTTCAAAAGAAATATTAAATAATCGTAGAAACCCTACTGGTTTATACATTTCATCAGGGCTCTTAATTCCCACTGCAACGTTGTTTGGATTCTTTCATTTTACGGTGATTATCCATGAAAGTATCCTTCATGATCAAGAATCGTTTCTTCACGATATCACCTAACGTATTAATAATAGCATTACGCAAACCACAAATATTTAAGGGTCGAATTCATAGTCGCTCCTTGAATCTTCCTTAGGGGTCGTGAGTTTAGAATGGACACTTGCTACTATTTGACAAGTTAGTCATGTTAATTCTAAACGTTCAAAGTTTCCTTAAGGTCTGAGGAAATGTCAAGGACCGACTATAAATTCGGCCCTAAAAGAATGTTGAAAAACACTTACTTGAAAAATTGGGCTCCAAATAATTTGTAATTTTCACCCCATCGACTGTCTTTCGAATCCGTTCGTCTGTATTCCTTCAGTGAAACATCCCAAAGTATAAGATGAAATTGTACTGCGTGTATCAATTTATATTCAAGGTCCGTGGTCCACAGCTTATTATGCCTTTTAGATATTATTGGCGTAGCATCATCCTTGGAAATTTGACAGGTTGACCCTCGTATAATAATGACATTTGAAGACCAAATATTTTTTAAATTTCAGGGTTTAAAACAGAAACGAGTTGCCAGAATGTGTAACATATCTTGGTAGATTCAATAGACCTATCTCCTATTACCTGGACTGCGCGCGTCGCTTGTAGGCTGCAGGTAGCGTCCAATGAGAAGCAGTTTGTGACAGGCTTGCATCATATTCTTATTCAGGGGCCAGTTCAGAATGAATTGTTCCTTTTTTCTTTGTAACGTGTAATCTGACAAAGAGCAAACTAATTCTTCACATATTACTTGAACTCACCGCAGTTTCGTTTAAGATTATACTTGACATATTCCTTTGCAATTTCATTGAGCGATGTTGCCGGAGGAAACATTTATCAAAATAAAAGTGCAAACGATGTTCATCCACTTTAAAACTCTTCTTTTGTCTGATATAAGGCATTGTAAATCACTTGACACTATATCACTTCTTTTATGTTATAACATTCGATTTGTATTGTCTACATTTATTCTGCAACAATACAATCTGGCTACACTGCAGCCTACGAGTTGCGCGCGCATGTCATCTTTTATTTCTTTCTAACTTGTATTTATTACAATCAAGCTCTCTTTTTCTAATCATGCGAGATAGGTCTATTCCAATATATTTTTCCAAATTAATTTAAAAAAAATTGGGTAGGGGAGAGGGTGGATGATTCGGCCAGTTTGTAGAAATGAACTCATAAAACCCATGTTTTTTGTTAAATAGTGACAGCTTGTATTGCTACATCTTCAGACATTTCTAAAACTATTAAAAGCCAAAAAACTGGCATAAAAATATTTCCAGGATTTTGCGCAATTATCAAAAAAACCTCAACAATTTGGCCGAACCCTCCACCACTGGAGGTAGATTCGGCCAACATTGAGGGAGGATTCGGCTTATGCATAAATTACTATAAAAGATATGTTCATTAGCTTATTATTTAGTACAAAGGGTATATAACCTGAATTTAGTAGAAGAAAAGTTTTTCTGGATAAGTATACATTGAAACAAATGTATTGTGAAGAACATTCATTCCTTGGAAATTATAATTGAATCTTGAATCGAAACCAGTGATTGTGTTCGTGCAGTTCCAGCTTTTTGTGGTTGTGCAACCCTAGCCTCAATATCATTAACTTGCATACCATTGCTATGTCATCCAATAATCGGAAACTGGAAGCTGTTTGAATTTCTCTTCCGCCTTAAAAACTTCACTTTATGGGAGCCATCATCGATTTCGAGCACTTCTTGTCCTATATAAAAATAAACCTCATTCTTCGATTCTCAAAACTTGAGTAGAAATTCATTGACAAAAATATGTTCATTGGGATCCATATATTTTAAAGACATAAACGACTCGTCGCTACCATTTAAAGAATCTGCTATCTCTATTGAAATGTCCGACTCACTGGACGATTCCTTATCCAATTTTTTTTTTTTTTGAAAATACATTTCTCTTTACTGTCTTGTTAGCCTTTACCCTCTTTTTATTTTCTCGTTCATTTTGCTTAGCAATAAGGTCTGGTAAATAATTAGGTACCTTTACTAGACATGGGTATGATTTCGGCCGTGGCCAAAACCTCACCCTTCTTAGAGGCCGAAGCATCACCATTAGTTCAAAATCACAAAGATGGCCCCTGGGCCACTTACTATTTACATTTAACGTTAGGTTATTAATGAAACAAAGCTCTCAATATGCCACTAAATTCGAGCACTAAGTGAAATATTTTTACAAATTGATTGTTCACAAAAAAAATTTAAATTTGTAAATTTCAAAACTCGCCTTATTTTCTCTAAAAACATTCAACAATATATCAACCCAAACAAACACGTGGGAGAAGCTGTCCGTACTACTGAATACTGAAAAGAGGCTTCTGTGCTCTAAAAATCATTGACGTTTCCTGGAAAATTTGAAATGGTGAACATAAATCGCAGGTGGCCGAATCCTCCCAGGAGCCAAACCCTCCACCCTCTCCCCTACGTAGTAAGATTATTTGATTTATTGGCAATAAAATAAATCGAACGTAACATAACAGTAAGCTTAACAGCATAATAATATTTTGGGAGTAACCTTTTTTTTTGGGTAACGTCGAGTTTGGTCCAACAAAGATATTAGACTATCCAAGATGCTGTCAAACTTAAATTAAAATGTCCGCCAAGAGGCACACAAACAAGATAAAAATAATTTAGAAACTAATAGCTTAATTGACAGTTGCAACTTGTCTGATCAAAATAATATTCCGGACAATGCAAAGCCTATGATTGTGGCCTATGACAAATCCCGTTCCAATATTTGGTCGCATGTCAAAGACTGCAAGTTTTTTGAGTGACTATGTTTGTACTTAGAATGAAAAATTATTATTATTTTTCTTTGTTTGGAAAAGGAGATGTCCTGAGTATTCAGTTTATTCTGTTAGAAATATGAATTGTTTTCATTTATGTGAATCGACCTTTATTGAATGACATGCCTCATAGGTGACGGATAAGAGAAAGAGAAAATTGGGGTTATGTTATTATTTGAAAATTAAATAATCAAACGAACTTACCTAAGTGAAGTTCGATTATAATTATACGTAGCGTTTCCTTCGAAGATGAAATAAGACAACATGTAGTACCTCTACTTTCTGCTAGCTGATCACAATTTCAAAGCCTCAAAAAAACAAGGCTTTTATTACCTACTACTATGCAACCCACAATACGTCACACCCTCGTTAGTTCCGCCTCTCTGTTGCATTATGGGTCTAAGTCGTTTCCTACTCACTTAAGTTTAAAGCCCTTGCGACGAAGCCAGATGATTTAAGGGTGAAGAAGATATAATTATGATAATATAACAGACTCGATAATAGGGTAAAAGGGTGGGAATCATCTTCGAAGGAAACGCTACGTATAATTATAATCGAACTTCACTTAGGTAAGTTCGTTCGATTATTTAATTATACTTGCGTTTCCTTCTTCAGATGAAATAAGACAACATGTAGATGTATAAAGTATAGGCGAGTCGCATCAACAACTACCTTATTAAATTCAAATAAATAGGTACATAACTGTTAACCATATATATAACTAGACAAAAAATAATATAATCACAAACTAATGTAATTAGCTCT